TCATATTCCACCTGCACTGCAATGCGTTCCTTATACAGTTCAGCAGAGGGCTTTGTTGAGTGTATTCTATCAATGTCCCTGATCCGATTAGCAAGTTCTGTCATTCGCTTTGTCCTTTTTCTGCTAATACTGATTGAATATGATATTATTTGCCCACGAAGATAAGCCTTCATGGCCTCCCATACAATGCCTATACTCATCTCTGGTTGACGGTTTATTTCAAGAAAGGTATCGATGTGCGTGGAAATATACTTAATAAAATCTTCATCTAATAATAAGCGTGGGTTTAGACGCCAGATCCTTTGTGGTGGTACATGGTTTGGAAAACAAAGTTTCATGGTCACTGGGCTGTGGTCAGAAATAACAATGCTCTCATAGTCACTGGACTCAAGCACAGAAAGTAACTTTTTATCTAAAATGAAGTAATCTATTCTGGAGAATGACTGCTGGGCTGCAGAAAAAAAATGAAAATTGTTTAGATGTTGGGTTCTTAAATCGCCATGGGTCCACCATCCCGTATTCTTCAACAAAGGAGTTCACCACTCGAGCCGAGTTTGACAGTGGTCTAGAGGAGACAGTGGAGCGGTCCAGAGTGTGATTGAGGGCGCAGTTAAAGTCTGCCCCCAAAATTAGGTGATGGGAGTTCAAATCAGGGAGCAGAGAGAAGAAATTGCTAAAGAAATCGGCATCATCTGAGTTGGGAGCATAGAGACATGCAAGCACAATAGGTGTGTTGTACAATTGACCTTGCACTATGATATAGCGGCCATTTGTATCTGCAATTACTTTAGATTCCACAAACTGCACATGCCTACGTATCAGGATCGCTGCACCCCTATATTTGGTGTTGAATTTGGAGTGGAAAATGTGAGAGAAACCACCCCGCTTGAGTCTAGAGTGATCAGAAGTACGCAAATGAGTTTCCTGGAGATAAACAATGTCTGCCTTTAGCTTCTGGAGGTGGGAAAACACTTTGCTGCGCTTTACTGGATGATTGAGACCTCTAACATTCCAGCTAACAAAAGTAGTTGCCGCCTTACCCACACTCAGTGCCCTGTTTGCCTGGGTCATTGTGGGACCTTAGACAGTAATCTAGCCCCCTGTCAGAAGGGTGAGGGAGAGGAAGGGAGGGAAAGGGGGGATGGGTCACCTTAAAAAAACTGAAATAAAACACACAGCGATAAGAACATAAACACCATTGAGAACCTAAAATAGAAGGTCCATATGTAATTGAAGTGGTTGAAACAACATTCACAATAAAGAGCTGGTCCCTCCCCAAATGAGGGACTGCTACCCGCCCCCGATAACACTCGCATCTCAACGTGGACAGCTTACCTGGCGAGATCGAGCCCCGCCAGAACCATCAATAGCTTTAGATAAACCTTGTGATAATAGATATAGACAAACCTCCAAGTTGAACATTCATAACATGGTCTCAGTAGAAGTAACAAACGTATTAACCAGTTATGACAACATATGCAAACATACAGTATTGGTTGTTGAATGAAAAGTAAAGCAAGAAAAACGTGAACCTCCCCAGGAGAATAGGAGAGCAGTTGCTTGAACTAGCGGGCCGTAAGCCAACTGACTGTGTTATAATGTGGGCTAGTGTGAGCAGCGCGAGCTGGCTTAAATTACACAATAATAAGAAAAACCACAAATGTTCGTAGCAAGCCCTAGCCCACAGCCCCATATACTACAAGTGAATAAGTCAACGCCGCTATCCGGCGCCGCCTGTTATAGCTGCATTAGTCAGTCAGTCAGCTTACCTAGCATCTTAGCCGCTCTGTTTAGCCACGTTCCTCAAAACAAAGTCCTTCGCCACCCCCCGGGTCTGTGAAACTGTGTCGCTTTCCATCGGCCGTTGTGATCCGCAGAACTGAGGGATACCACAGTCCGTACTTGACACCATCACAGCCTCTTAGCATGCCTTTCACATCCCTGAAGGTGGCTCTCTGCTTCGCGACTGCTTGGGTGTAGTCGGGGAATACTCTGATCCTGTCTCCGTGTGACGTTGTCGGATCTGTGGCCGTGGCTGCCTTGCGGAGGATCGCTTCCTTCTCCCGGTAATAGTGAAATCTCACCACAAAGGCGCGGGGTGGCTGGTCCTCCTGGGGCCGTTCCCGTAGGGTGCGATGGCATATGTCTAGTAGTGGCTCTTTTTCTAAGCCCAGCGTTTCCTGGAGTAGTTTAGCTACAAAGTCAGTTGGGTTCTTCCCTGCCTCCCGTTTTTCTTGTATCCCGGTGATGCGGAGGTTGCACCTCCTAGATCGCGCCTCCAGGTCCTCACTCCTGTCAGCGAAGATTTTCATATCCTTTTTTATCTGCTGCACGTCTCGTTCGAGAGTGGTAATGAGGTCTGAGTGATCATTAGCGGCAGTATCCAGGCTCTCGACCCGGTCCTCCAAAGACTTGGTGCGGCTGCTGACGCGGTCAACGGCGGATCTCAGCTCGTCCCTCAGTTGGCTTATTTCACGTCGTAATTCTTTGGACTGCATCTCGGCGTTGTCATCGATTTTCTTCAGCAGGTCCTCTCTGAGAGATTGAATGGCCTGTAGAATGGCGGTCTCATCGCCTCGTGCTGCGCTAGCGGCTAGGGGCCCTGCCCCAGCACCTTTAGCCGGGCTAGCACTATTAGCTTTCGGATCTGGCGCAGCAGACGCCTTTTTGCGAGAGGAAGACGACATATTTCGAATTAAACTGTTGGGCGGAGGCAAGGAAGAACAGCTTAGATGAAAATTACTTGAATATAATGTAGAGGGTAGTTGTCTAATATAAATATTCTGATTCTGGCGAGGAGCTCGAGAAATGCGACCTCACATGGCTCCGCTCAGACCGGAAGACCGTTACTAACATTTATAACTACTGAACATAACTTTAAGGCTTAATATAACTTAAACAAATTATAAATGGTAGTAACTGATTAATAAATGGTGATTTGTTTAACACTTTACAAGGCTCCCTTTTGACAGTTATAAATGGTAGTAACTCATTAATAAATGGTCATAAAGAGATGTCAAGAAACATCAAGATGGATGGGGGGTAATCAACTCATACCCCTTTCACACCGGCGCTTTTCCAGCTCCTGCTGGGAGCTAGAGCCTGAAAAGCGCCGTTTTTTCCTGTTCACACCGCAGCGGCGGCGCGTCATAGCTCCGGAATGCGGTTCACTTCCAGCTCCAAAAAATTGTCGGTCCAGAGGCAAGAGCTTCGGAGCTATGACGCGGCGTCTCTTACGTCTCTTACGTCGAGGCGTGCAGGAAACCTTACTTTGATCATCCGTTCGCTGTTATTGATCATTGTGGAGATACATGGGCTATACAGGTTGTCATGTCCGACTATCAGAAGTAGAATCATAATGAAAAATACGCCGGTAAAATGTGCCTATAGAAAACGGCTTAGCAAGTAGTCAGTTTAGCTTCGGTTGCTATGCTAATATCACCCATGTTATACCAGAGAAACTTTCATAACAGCGCTGTGATGCCAAACAGCGTCAATTCAGACTGACACACATTCACTTAAGGGGAACTGGGGATATGTATCAGCTGCTTGTGTGACAGTCAGACAGTGAATACTTTAGAGCCGTGTGAGCTAACCCGGAGCTAACGGGAGAATAAACTCCCGTGGAAGTGCAGCCACTGCAGCGGTCGGTAAATGCCGCTGAAACACATTAATAAACAATGAACCACGGCACTCTGGAGAAAAGTATAAGGTTGGAGAAGTTGTTATTTAATTTAATCTGGCTTCGTATGATTAAAAGCAACACGACCCGATGTAGTCCCCGGCCCGTTGTTCTTGTGGGAGAAAATCAGCGACGTAAACTGTGACGTCATGACGCAGCAGCGGCAGCTCTGGGCAGTGTGAACAGAGCGGGAGCTGAAAAGGGAAACGGGAGCTGAACCAGAAAAGCTCTCGCGAGGAGCTAGAAAGTGAAAAGCGCCGGTGTGAAAGCCGCATCAGTGAACAACAGATACCAAGGATGCTGGCTGATGAAGGAGATGAAGTAAGCTAATGCCAATATAAGGCTTAGTCCTCTTGCCAAATAGTGAGCCTGTGTTGATGTATGAAAACTATGTTAGAACTGGTTTATAAATGGTTCTTAATGATTAATAAAGTGTTTTAATTACCTAATTATAAACCCTTTATGAATCCTTTATAAGGGTAGTCTTTTCGTCTTTGTTCGGTTTATTCTCTTGTATTCCAATAATACACACATAAAGAACAATGGTTTCACCTTTCACCTTTCCTGTGTTCCTCCTGGTAAATACCATATGCTCAAACTGGTGCCAATCCCACCACCTCGTGTCCAATATATAATTATCAGTATCAGCACTTCCTGCCCCTGATTGAACTCCACCTGCTTCCCATCCCATTAGCCTCACCTGTGCCCCATTATCATCCCTCCCCCTGTCTATTTAGTCTGCGTCCACATTCCCCTCAGTGCCAGTTCGTCTTAGTTATTCCTAGCGTTCCATCAGTGTTTATTCCTAGTACCTTGATTCCACGTGTACCTGATTGAACTGTATATATTGACTCTTTTCACCACACACTGATTCTGACTGGCACCCCACTTTATTAAAAGTAGGTCAAACCCGCTACAAAGTTAAGGTATTCACTATAATCTGTTCAATGTTATCTGACTCTCCAGATATGAATGAAAGGCCGTGTGTTTAGATTTGTTCACGCCTTCTTATATTTAGTTATATTGCCTTTTGAAAAATAAAGATCATTATTATCTAGCAGTGTATTTTTATGTTTAAAAAATGTCAGGAGGGACGATGCCCCATGGGCTTATTCACATTATCAAATCCGGCCTTCTTTCAAAAAAGTTTCGACACCCATGATCTCTAGAGAATTCAGATATTAAGGCTGCCACTTCTGGGTCATTTCCCTCAGTTAGGAACGCTCCAAAGCAAAATTGACAATTCGACCACAACCAAAGTCTAAAAAGCAGCACATAAATCAACAGTATTTAACTTGTTTCTTTGTTTAATTTTTAGTTCATCCAAAATGAGCCAGTCATCAACTGAGGAACCACCTGAGTTGAATACGTGGACCAAAGAGGACGTCCACCACTGGCTGATGAATGTGGTCAAAGTTCCTCAGAGTTGTGCCGATTCTTTTCTGGAGGAGAAAATGAATGGAATAGCTCTCAATGAGATTGAGAAGTCAGAAATATTGGAATTTAAAATACCACACGGCCCCGCTGTCAAAATCTCCCATTATCTAGAGAGGCTTAAGAAAGGATCACAACATGAGTCCCAGTTCCCAGCTGAAGTGGAAAACTGGACAAAGGAGGAAGTGGCTCAGTGGTTAGTGGGGCATGTGAAGGTCGATGGCAAAGAGGCTGAACGATTTAAGGAAGAAGAAGTGTCTGGAGATTGTCTTGTTTGCTTCAAGAAACAGGATTTCCGGGATCTGGGGCTAAAGAGGGGTCCCGCTCTCAACATCCTGAAGGAGCTCAAGAGACTGAGAATTCAAGAGTCAACGCCACCATCCAGAATCAGATCGTTCTCTATGGGCAAAAACAAACAAGCAGGCAAGAGGCTGCCAATGGAGAGAAAGACAACTGAAGTAACATTTCAGGTTTGTTTTCCAGTTCATGAGAATGTTGTTGTTGTTTGAGCGGTGTGAGAAATATCGGCTTCTTCCAGGTTAAACTTTAGTGCTTTATTTTTTCATTTCTATTCTGTTTTTTCTCCAGAAACCAGCCCCGTTGATCAAGGATACCCTGGATGGGCTTTCGACAACCGATTTCACGTCTTTTAAATTTCATCTGAACAATTACACCGACCCTAAGTGCAAAGCAATTCCCCAGTGCAAACTGGAAGGTAAAGACACCAGTGACATCGCTACAGTAGTGACCAACCACTACGGACCTGACAAGGCTTTACGCGTCACACATGAAGTTCTCATAAAAATAAATCGGCGTGATCTTGCTGACCAACTGCAAAGCCACATGGGTAAGAATGTTTCTCCCACTCTCTTCACACAGTCTTGTAGGCGTCTTTCGGTTTTCCAACCCAGTTGAGATTTAACCACGCCTACTTCCACATCGACATGTATACTCTAATTTGGGTAAATATGATCAATTTAGTATTTATTGGACCACAGTTAGTTAAGCACCTCTCTGCACGGTTCCTCTTCCTACTTCCCTTTCGAATCGTAAATCTATCGATCATAAATCTATCGATTAGATTTATAATTCGAAAATTATAAAAGTAGGGTAGACATGTGGAGATTATCCGGCTGAACAAAACGTGCATTTATCAAACAGGTTCGTTTTCCACAGATCTTATTTTTTACAATATTCCAAAATCCTATGGAGAAAACTCATAGCTTTTTTGTCGAGGGAACCCATGTGCAGCTTACTTAGGGGTCGGCCTAAAAAAATACGCCATCCCTGCACAGCTAATAATAACTGTGATCATCTTTCACGTTGAAAATAGCACTTTTTTCATTGATCTACTTGAAAAACATGCTCTATGAAGCGACTGTAGCTGAGTTGGAAAAAAGGATAGACACATGTGTTTTCCAAATGTCAGTAGTATGCATTCACTGATGCAAATCTTCAGCTTTAACTCAACAGTCTGATTAGCTTTGTATCATTATTGAATTTCTTTTATAGAATTCAATATCAGTTACTCTACTAATTGATTCATAATTTAATGCTCATACAGGTTTGGTGGAGGTCCGCCAAAAACCTTGTGTCGATGAGGACAAAGCAACGCAGTCACACTCATCCAGCTGGTCCAGATCTGAATTCACATCGAGAAAAAATAAAAAAAAAAAAAAAAAATCTTCCTGTTTTAATTTTAATGGTAACTTAACATTGTTTAAGTGCTGTTCTCCATGATTTAGTCCATTTAAGGAATCGTACCAAGCCATGCATTAGTGATGTCATACTTTTGACATCATAATTATTGTCATAAGTGTTAGACCAAAGTGTCTTAAAGGTCTCCTATCATGCAAAATGCACTTGTTGATGTCTTTTATACATCAACATGTGTCCCCGGTGTGTAAGGGTACACAAAGTGTCAGAAAACAAACCCCTCTCTCTTTTCCTCCGTACCCACATCTCTTAAAACGGGGGAACAACGGAGCTGATCCAGATTTGCTGCCGATATGACGTAATATCGGAAATGTGGGCTGGCTATACACCCACGGGCCTATCAGAAACGTTGCTATCGGAAACAATGCCCGATGTGTTTTGGTCTGTGTTTACATTAGCATCGCTAACACTCAGAGCTAACCTGTACTGGAGAGAGTATGTGTAAAGAGGCAGGAAATAAAAAGGAACTCACCTTGTGGTAAACCTGAGAGAGAGAAAGAGTTTGAGCTCCATACTGTTTCAGAAATAATCCTTGATGTGGTTTAGAACATGATATGGAGTTTAATCACGGCAGCGTTTAGCTGCATCTGAGCAGACAGCCTGCTCGTCACAGACCTCACAGCTCGCCATGCCGTGCTCCAAAGGGGGCGGGGCCAGCAGCAACACATCTCTGCCATGAAGCTATGTAATGTCTACTTCATACTGTTGAATTTACTTTAAAGGTCACCTATCATGCTATTTTAAGGCATTTATTATGGGTCTCAGATTTGGTGTCCTTAGCTTGAAAAAAATAAAAAGAGGAGGCGGAGCTAATGCCTGATCAGAATTCTACCGGAGATAAAGTTAAATTCTGCTGTGATAAAACGCCATCCTGTTCTAAACCACACCAAGGATTATTTCTGAAACAGCATGGAGCTCAAATGCTTTTTCTCTTGCGGGTTTATCACAAGGTGAGTTCCTTTTTTAATTTCCTGCTTTTTAAACACATGTGCTCTCCAGTACAGGTTAGCTCTGAGTGTTAGCGATGCTAATGTAAACAAAGACGAGATTACATCCAAAACACGCCAGGCATTGTTTCTGATAGCAACTCTCTGTGGGTCCACCATCTGAAATTACGTCATATCGGCAGCAAATCTGTATCCGCTCGTTGTTCCCCCGTTTTTAAAAGATTTGGGTACGGAGGAAAAGAGAGAGGGTTTTATTTTCTGACGCTGCGTGAGTTCCCTGACACACCGGGGACACATGTTGATGTATAAAAGACATACAAAAGTGCATTTTGCATGATAGGTCCCCTTTAAATATTTGTTCTTTTTGAATGTTGCTGAAAAAACATGCAGTAAATCTTTGATCTTTTCTACGACATTGCTTCTCGCTGTTTTCGGTCCCAGGAGACCAAACTGAAGATTCTCTGAATCAGGAACTGAAGCTTACAAATCTTTATTTGTATTTTTTGTAAATATAGTTTGGTCTTTTGATATGTCTTTTGTTATATGTATTTGTGATTTTTTTAGTTTTTTTGTGTGTTTTATGAAATATCTTTTTGTATGCTGAAATGTTGTTTTTTACTTACCGGCTACCCTTGTCGGCAACGTGCAGATACGAAGTTGTGCTATTTGATAGAGATTATAAAAATAAAAAGCTAATCATTGCATTTGGGTATATATGTTACTTGCTGGTCATTTTATAAAACATGTTGTGTCCCTAGAATTATTTGTTAAACTAGAACCAGAGAGACTATAAATAACCAGTTAATTAATTATCTACGATTGTTATATAACTAGGTTGCATAACATATTCCAAATAGCTACTCAAGTCCTGATTTATTTTTTATTATCTTTGCTTTTTAAATGCCTTTGTATAATCCTCTGTATTTGTTCTTAAATGTCTTCGATTTTATTTTGTAAAGCACTTTGGGTTGCCGTGTGCGGTAAGGTGCTATATAAATAAACTTGCCTTGCCTTGCCTTGAATGCTGTGATTGTTAATAGAACAAGAGATAGCAACATGTGGGAGTTGGGCTGTTGTCAAAGATTGCCAAATGTTAAAATGTAGAAGAATCTATTTAGCTGATAAGCCAAACTTACAACTAAAAAGGTTCAAGGGTGGTGCTAAAACCTCCACTGCTTCCACTGTATATATGTGAGAGATTTGCTCCAGTTTGTGACTCTTACAACCTCAGACCCAGTGCCTGGATACGGTTCCAGGTTCCTGCCGTGAGGACTGAGGCTGGAAAAAGGAGTCTTTTTTCATTATGGTCCTTGGTCTTGGAATGACCTTCAATCACGCCTCAAACTGACAGCACTTGTCCCTATAGCCTGTTTTAAATAGAAGTTGTCTGAGGTCCTCACCACCAGCTGCTCTTGCAGTAATAAGTAGTGCACCTTTCTTACTGTCCTAATGTGCACAATGTAGTGACTGCTTTTCGTCTTTTGTTTACTTAATTGTGTTCTCTGTATTTTACATGTTTGTGTTATGTGTAACGTTGCTGCCTTCTTGGCCAGGTCAGCATTGTAAATTAGATTTTATCTCAATGCTTTTTATCTCGTTGAATAAAGGTTCAATAAAAACCACAGGAATAAAGATGTCAGTCAATAATAATGGCAACTGTGATCTGAGTTCACGCTGCACAGGGCGCAAGCAGTTTTCCACACAACAGGAGTCTTTATCTAACAGCTCTGAGGCTTCCTGTTACTACCTCCTACCCTGCCTCCTACCTCCTACCACTGACCCTGCCTCCTACCACTGACCCTGCCTCCTACCACCTACCACTGACCCTACCTTCTACCTCCTACCCTGCCTCCTACCACTGACCCTGCCTCCTACCACTGACCCTGCCTCCTACCACTGACCCTACCTCCTACCACTGACCCTACCTCCTACCACTGACCCTGCCTCCTACCACTGACCCTACCTCCTACCACCTACCACTGACCCTACCTCCTACCATTGACCCTGCCTCCTACCACTGACCCTACCTCCTACCACTGACCCTACCTCCTACCACTGACCCTGCCTCCTACCACTGACCCTACCTCCTACCACCTACGACTGACCCTACCTCCTACCACTGACCCTACCTCCTACCACCTACCACTGACCCTACCTCCTACCACTGACCCTGCCTCCTACCACTGACCCTACCTCCTACCACTGACCCTACCTCCTACCACTGACCCTGCCTCCTACCACTGACCCTACCTCCTACCACCTACCACTGACCCTGCCTCCTACCACTGACCCTACCTCCTACCACTGACCCTACCTCCTACCACTGACCCTACCTCCTACCACTGACCCTACCTCCTACCACCTACCACTGACCCTGCCTCCTACCACTGACCCTACCTCCTACCACCTACCACTGACCCTACCTCCTACCACTGACCCTACCTCCTACCATTGACCCTGCCTCCTACCACTGACCCTACCTCCTACCACCTACCACTGACCCTGCCTCCTACCACTGACCCTGCCTCCTACCACTGACCCTGCCTCCTACCACCTACCACTGACCCTACCTCCTACCACTGACCCTGCCTCCTACCACTGACCCTGCCTCCTACCACTGACCCTACCTCCTACCACTGACCCTCCCTCCTACCACTGACCCTGCCTCCTACCACTGACCCTACCTCCTGCCACCTACCACTGACCCTACCTCCTACCACTGACCCTGCCACCTACCACTGACCCTACCTCCTACCACTGACCCTACCTCCTACCTCCTACCACTGACGCTACCTCCTACCACTGACCCTGCCTTCTACCTCTGACCCTACCTCCTACCACTGACCCTGCCTCCTACCACTGACCCTGCCTCCTACCTCCTACCACTGACCCTACCTCCTACCACTGACCCTGCCTCCTACCACTGACCCTGCCTCCTACCACTGACCCTGCCTCCTACCTCCTACCACTGACCCTGCCTCCTACCACTGACCCTGCCTCCTACCTCCTACCTCCTACCACTGACCCTGCCTCCTTCCTCCTACCACTGACCCTACCTCCTACCACTTGACTCAACTATGCCCCTCTCTGTCTGTAAACCAAACGCTAATAAAGCCATATCATTACACTACTGTGTAATTAATTGATGTCTTGTGTTTTGTGATTACTGCCTTGTCTTAGCAGGCACAGGTCCAGGCATAGGCTAGACCAGGGGTGGGCATTTTACGGCCCGCGGGCCACATCCGGCCCGTTGGCCGGCCTTGGCCGGCCCGTGTGAGGTTGATCATAAATTATAACATAATGAAAAAAAACAGCAACCTTTTCAAAATAAAAGCAACACAGCTGTATTGCTTGCATGGCGTAAATACTTTTCTAACTGTGTTGCTTTTATTTTGAAAAGGAAGCTGCTGTTTTTTTTATTTATTTACGTAAATGCGCATGCCGTGAACAGCTACGAATGATGCTGGCCGGCTAGTCCTCGAAATGTCCGCTAAGGGCAAAAAAAGAAAGATCGATACTGAATGCCGCGTTTTCAACAAGACATGGACCGCTAAGTATTTATTTACAGAAGTGAAAGGTAAAGCTGTGTGTTTAGTTTGTGGTGCGCAGGTCGCTGTGTTCAAGGAGTACAATTTGAGTCGCCACTATGCTATCAAACACGCAGATAAATACAAGAACCTGTCTGAGGAAGAGCGGGCAAAGGGGTCGGATGCTTTGCTAGCTAAGCTGCAAAGCCAACAACACATTTTCACAAAACATTCCACATCCAGAGATGCAGCTGTCAAGACGAGTTATGTCTTAAAAGTAAACCGTTTTCGGACGGAGAGTTCATTAAGGAGTGTTTGAAAGTGCCGCTCTCCCGACGCACTGTTACGAGGAGAATTGAGGACATCGCGGGAAATCTGGAGCTTCAGCTGCAGAACAGAGCGGTCAACTTTGACTTTTTTTTCCTTGGCTTTGGATGAGAGCTGCGATGTACGTGACACTGCCCAGCTACTCATCTTCCTACGTGGGATAACTACAGACTTCAAAATCACGGAGGAGCTGGCAGCCATGCAGTCAATGAAAGGTACAACAACAGGGAGTGATTTGTTCACGGAGGTAAATGCATGTGTGGAAAAGTTGGGACTGAAATGGGACAAGCTGGCAGGCGTGACAACGGATGGTTGTCCAAATCTGACAGGGAAAAATGTTGGACTATTGAAGAGAATGCAGGATAAAGTGACAGAAATTAACCCTGAGCAGAAATAGGTATTTTTGCATTGTATTATACATCAGGAAGTGTTGTGTAAGTCAGTGTTAAAAATTAACCATGTTGTTGATGTTGTAACTAAAATAGTTAACTTCATCAGGGCAAGAGCATTGAATCACAGACAGTTTGTTGCACTTTTGGAGGAAAGTGAGACTGAACATCGTGACATACCCTACCATGCAGCTGTCAGGTGGCTCAGCCTGGGCAAAGTGCTGAAAAGACTATGGGACCTGAGAGAAGAGATTCAAGACTTCTGTGTGAAGAAAGGAAACGACATCCCACAGCTTTCAGATGCAGACTGGATGGCAGACCTTGGTTTTGCTGTAGATGTGACTGCACTAATGAGTGAACTAAATGTCTGCAAGGCAAGGGCCTTTTTGTGCATGACATGTACAGTGAAGGCTTTCATGAGAAAGCTGCAGCTTCTCTCAAGCCAAATGGAGGACAACATTCTCACGCACTTGCCAACACTGAAGGAAGCCACACCATCAGCTGATCACCTCCAGAGGTACTCATCCATGTTAGAAGCACTGCATGGTGAGTTTTCAAGGCGATTTAAAGACTTCAAAACAGTTGAGAATGAAATGAACATGATATTTTCCCCATTTACATGCCATGTGGATGATGCACCCAGTGATGTTCAGCTTGAACTCATTGACCTGCAGTCTGACACACTTCTGTCAGAGCACTTTAGGTCAGTCTCACTGCCTGAGTTTTACTCTTCCCTGAAAGAGGAGAACTTTCCACACATCAGGAGACATGCTCAGAAGATGAGGGTCCTCTTTGGATCTACCTACATATGTGAACAGACATTCTCAGTGATGAAGTTCAACAAATCCAGATACAGATCCTCTATCACTGATGATCACCTCTCAGCTGTCCTTCGCATATCCACCTCAGACATTGAACCAGATTTCCGTGCACTTGTTCAAGCCCAAGACAGACTGGATTTTTCTCACTGAACAAGTAAAATTAACTGAAAAACAAAAGTCAAAAGCACTAATTTCTTTTTGTATAAAGCTGATTCATTTCTTATCTTTAACATACTGTAAAACACCTTTTCAGTATTGGTATATTGAGCAGAATTAAGTTCAACTTATTTTTGATTCGGCCCCCCCAACACAGCTCGAGTTTCTGAAGTGGCCCCTTGTAAAAAATAATTGCCCACCCCTGGGCTAGACTCTAGTACAACCTGCCTTTTGAATAATAATAATTACTGTATTTATTTTATATATATATATATATATATATATTAACATCTTAAAAGCGTTATTCATATTAATAAGATGTAGACCCAGAATGTAATAATAAATTCCTTTAATATGAAATGAAATTCCTTCACAGCTGCTTTTTGCTTGGAAGAATATCCATGTTCACTTTTTTAGTTAAAGACTTTAAATACATAGTCACCTTAGTTTATAGTTTACTCCTATTTTATTTCTCTTATCTTATAAGCGTTGCTCTACAGAGGAATATTATTAGAGTGAAGACCTAAAACCCGCTTTAACAAAAATGTATAGAAAATGGGATTATGTCCAGAATATAATTGGATTAAAGTAGGGGGAAGAGTGACTTCGGTGCAGAACCACATTCCAGGTGTTAATGGAGAAAGAGCTTTGAGTATTCGACAGGTGAAAGCATTTTGTGTGAAGGCAAAGTCATCAGTAATCTATAGAGTGGATTTCTAACTATCCTAAAAATGTGTAAAATGTATAGAAATGATTTTGAATAATGTGAAGCAGGGTGAAGGTCAAAGAAAAGAGAGGAACAATCAAAGCAGATTCATTATATTTTAATCTTTCTGTAAAGGAAATCATATAAATTAAAACTTGGTGATTTGAAAGGAACTTAAAGAACAGGTTATCTGTCGACAGAGGTCAGAGGTCATCATAGAGATTAGTAGAAGGGCAGAAAACAGTCGATGAAGAAGAGCGAGATATCCAATCACTGACGTATTATCAGCGTGTTGTGGGACACCATCTCTGAGAAATATTACAATTGTGTTTTTTTATTTACCTTTTTTCCCCTCAATCTGCTGCAGCCATTTCCTACATTTCAAGGGAGACCTGCAGCATATAGGTTCCACATGAAACATAAAAATGTTTTTGCACTCTTTTTAGTTAAGGACTTTACATTTATATTAAATTATAACTACATTTCACAACACTGAATTGTCATTTAAATACTTGTCTAGTAAAACCTGCCTTTTTAATAATCATGATTGTATTTATTTTATATGATGAACCGTGAGCTTGTGTTGATGCTATGACAACACGATCGCTTCAGTCAAATGAATAAAGTTGGGAGATACATTTGATTTAAATTCATAGATGCATACAAATGTTATGGTTTAAATCAGGGGTCGGCAACCTTTTTGATATGAAGTGCCATTAAAAAAAAGAATTATCAACGGGGGGGGGGGGTTGAGGAGCTTGACGCTCATGAACTATCAACAGGAGGGCGGGGGGGCCTCGCTGCGTGGAAGCAGTGTGTGGACCTGTCAGCACAACTTACAGGATGCCGAATTTAACAAACACATTTAAATAATTGGTTTAAACGGCATAATAATAAGGACGATCGTCCGTTCTGTGATTCTCCAGAACACACATGTTATGATATTAGGATGCAGAGTGAGATGAGATCGCTGTCCCTTTAAGAGAGAGAGAGAGAGGTGTGGCGTGCGCACGTGTGTGTGTGGATGGTAGAGCGAGAGTGAGCGAGCGTGTGTATGTTTCTGGAAGTGAAACGAGGCAGCAGAAAAACAGAGGTCTGTGATGTATTTTGTGAAACAGAAGAACAGCTAAATAAATGCAACGGCCTCCCAAGAAGAGCTCGCCTCTCTCCAGTCATTTAAGCTAAAGTGGGTTATTGAACCTGAAGCTTGTTGCTTCTGCCCTCCTCGACTACGGTCTGGGAGCCGACAGGAAAGTTCAACACACAGATGGCCAGTCCGCCCCTTTGTAGCATATTATTTCAATGAGAGATGAGCAGATCGCCACTGGGCTTTCAACTAAAGACACACACAGCCACGCAAAAACTGCGGCATTTGTAAAGCTTCTTGTGGGTACTGCAATTTGTGAAGTGCTTTCCTCTGTGGTGAAACGATCAGCCCTGTGAGTATGTGTTCGCCCTACCATATGTGTTCTGGGTCCGTCGCTTACCAATGACGTCACGCATTGTGATTGGCTGTACGGTAATCGCACGCTGATTGGTGTAACTAGGGGCGCTGACTAGGGTATACCGGGGGTCTGACTCTGATCAAAGGATGAAGCTGTTAACGTGCTGCTACCATAAACTGGCTGTGGCCCACAAACTGAAGCAGAATGATCTAGGGCTGTCCCGAATACCATTTTTCGGGCTCCGGATATTCGGTAGCAATCAGCAGCGAATATTCGTAACGGACCCCGAACACATCGGGTTGCGTTGCGTGCATGGCTTCCTTCTGCAGGTAACGGGGAGACGCGCTCTGGCGGCGGTCTCGTTCAGGATCCGAAAATACAATTTAAATATTTTGCACACTTATTCCACTTATTCCTAGTGTGCCACTGGTTACGGTGCCGCGTGCCAATGCTGGCACACGTGCCAGGGGTTGCCGAAAGGCTATTCATGTGTTTGGACCATTTACCTAAAAAATACATATAAACGTCGATTTACTGTTAGTCAATGGGATAAACATCCTTTTGGACTCAATTACATCATGAGACTGCTACAAATAATTGCCTTAAAGGGGCCCTTTTATGCTCATCTTACATTACATGTCACTTGTTAGACGCTTTTATCCAAAGTAAAGCAACATTCAATACTGTGGGCAATCCACACAGTGCCTCTACTGTGATATGTCTCCTTGCTTTAATGTTCAAAAAGCTCTTTATTTTTCTCATACTGCCTGTGCTGCAGCATCTTTTCAACCTGGTTGTTTACGTGTACACTTCCTGGGGACTTGCTCTGACGCAGCAGGCAGAACTAACGAGAAACCACATTCTAGTCAGACAATTTTGAGCTGTACTCCGCCACTGGCCAGCTAAAGCACGTAAAAGGAACAGAAACCACCTATTTGCTTCGACCAGAGGCAAGCAAGACTTAAACTTTGAGAGACTACCACAACAAATTAAAGGTGAGAAAAACTAATGTTTGTGTATTGTTATACAGTACCGTGGGAATTTGAAAAGTAATCAGGAAGTGATTTACATCTCTTCGTGGAGGTCCCTTTACTTTTTCTTTAGCTTTCTTCTCGTATCTTCCTGTAATTCTTCTTCATGTTGTGCTGCTCTGGGCTGCACTCTAGAAAAAACTGAAATATAAATACTAGTATATACTTCAATATCTATTACAATGTGAAAAATCAAATGGAATGAAAAATAAATGGATGAAGAATAAAAGGTCATTGTATCGAAAAAGCTATCTTTAAAAAATGAAACTGTATGTTTGGACTAGGCTAAGAATAACTTCAGCCTACTTTCAGCTACAGAAACCATTCAAATATCAAACTATTCAGCCTTTTCAGCACATGATGGGAAACTTTCAACTTTTTCAAAATATTTATTTTAATATTCAGCTTTTTAAAGTCTTTTTTTAACATGTAACTCAATGGGAGGAACCTTCAAATCCTCTTTTAGCACATTGCGCCAAATGCTTCTCCTTCCACATACTTTCAGCTAGAGACTTCATTCCAACTTTAAAATGATCACAAGACATTCAGCTATAACACTTGTTCTTCAGATTTTTGATATCTTTTACACTTTTTGAGATATTTAACTTAGTTTGGAGCTTGGTAAAGAGGCCTTCTTCAGATTTTAACAATAGTGTGTTTGAGCAGCTCGTTAAGGCGTGACGTGCTTTGATCAAAACAGAGTGGAGGACAGCTTGAAATTCGCCTTACATTTTTTAATTCCCAAACCCTACACTCCATGCTTGAATTGTAGGAAAACCTCTCTCTCGTTAATAACGCGTTAACTTTGACAGCCCTAGTTTTTACAGAAGGGTTTGTTCATATATCATTCATAGCCTGAATTATATAACATTGTATACCTAAAAACATGGCGAAAATTGATATGTTAGGGCTGTTGACAGTATTTTCTGATTTATGGAGTGATAAAAAGAGATATCCAAAATCCCTTCTGTAAAAACTTTAGATTCTAATATGACTACAAAATGAAACAAGAATTTGTGCAGCTTTACTTACTTAATACACTAAGACTATGTTGAATTAACTTCCTTTTTGAAGGTCCCTATAATCTTTGTTTCAGACAAACTTAGTCCAAACACACAGTTTCATTTTTGAAAGATAGCTTTTTCTATACAATTGGACCTTTTATTTTGGATCCATTTATTTTTCAATTCATTTCATTTGTCATATTGTAATAGATATTGCAGTATATACTAGTATTTACATTTCATTTTTTTCTAGAGTGCAGCCCAGAGTAGCACAACATGAAGAAGAACTAGAAAATGCATTTTCTGCAGAACATGCGTGTGAATGCTGTAAACTGTGAACATTTGTGGCTGAATTTAGCTGAAAATGCAGAAAAAGCTGAATATGTTATTAGCTGAATGGTAGCTGCTTTTAGCTACAGAGACCAAGTCAGTGTGTCGCTGAACTTAGCAGAGAAATGCAGAAAGGTGAAATGATTTGAATCAAAATTGTTACATCTCAAATGCATTGCAATGACTTTGTTGAAAACTTGAAAGTGAAATGTTAAACTGGAAGAGTAGGAAAAATAGTGAAGAAGCTTAATATTTAAAAGAAAAGGTTTAAAAAAGGTATAAACAACAACATGTATAGCCTCAATGTCCTGAAATAGCTGAATAAGTTAATAGTTGAATGGTTTGTGCAGCTGAAAGTAGGCTGAAGGAGTTACATATCAGATGTAAGTTCACTACTTAGTGAATCAATGTGTATTTTGACTGCAAACTTTTGAACTAAAACCAAATGTCACCAATAATGTATAAAATATGTGGAACGTGTTGAAGTCAGTATGAAGTCTCCATCAGACAGAAAAGAATAGGCTGAGACCCCGTTTACACGAGGACGATACGGTTTGTATCTGCATACTGTTTCTCTTTCCCTTTCGTTTACACGAGGCCGTAACAAAACGATAGAAACGGACCCCGCAAACGATAACGGGTCCCAAGGTGGATAGATCTGCAAACGGAACGCTCTGGGGGGTCAAACGGCTCCGTGTGTACGCCTCTATACGATCATTTTCTGATAACGTGAAATAGCCCCCACGTCTCCTGCTCAGAGATCAGCTGCTGGGCTCTCAGAAGAGGGGGAGGAAAAGAGAGGCTCCGTTTATTATTCTTATATGATTATATAGAGTCGTTATCAATTTGTTTTAAAGCTCAATAAATAACAAAGAAGACCTATGACCGGCACTTTTCTAATTTTGTCCGGAAGATTTTAACTTTAACGGACATGTTGACCGGCGAATTTTTTTTAACGGAAACTCTGCCGCACGGTCCCCTCGTCCCTTGGAAGAGGCGGAGAGGTGGGTGTTTTTCATCTGCTGGTGGACTACCGGAGAGAATTACAGCAGGAGCACACGCCGTCCACCGCGGAGAATAAACAGAAGGGCAACCATGGCAACCATGCTCCGGGTTCTTCTTCGCTGCTTTTGGTGTATTTTGTGGCGGCAGCAGCGCCACTTACAGGCCCGGCATATGTACTACAGCGTTTCCAGCGGGTCGAGCGGTCTCATGTGAACGGACACGTTAATTGAGCCGAATGCGTGTGAACGCAAGACTTTTTTGAAAACGCAAACGGTGCGTAAACGCAAACGTTCCCGTGTAAATGGGGTCTGAGACAGTCTTTAAACTCCAGTCTGTTTGTCAGTGTTTGTTTCTATGCTGAGCACCTAATCATAACACCTGTTTAAGTGAGCCCAGAGATCAAAGGTTTCCATGGAGATGTGCTGTGAAAGGAGAGCCTTTCCATTGTTCTGAATGAGAAATAAACCTATTACATTTCTAACTATAGTTTAAAAATGGTAGCTGCTTTCGGTAAAATGTCAACGCGTGCAGCATGTCACGGACCCTGAGCGTCTGAAGTGTGCTTTTTGTGCACTTTCGGGTCAATAATGTGGCATTTTTGGCAGATTTACTAAAGGTGTGCAGCTGCTGAATTTACAATGGGCCTTAACGCCACTAATTATTTTAAAGGGCACATGTCATGGCCATTTCCACTGATCATAATTCCATTGTTGAGGTCTACTAAAATAGATTTATACTGTGCAATTTTCCAAACTCACATTGGTTTCTTAAACAGCATCTCTGTAAACTACGTGTATTCACTGAATTTCACTCTCTGCCTTTAACGGCTCGTTGGAGCTCCAATAGCTCCAGCCCCCACCCTCCCTGTGAGCACAGTGTGCTCTGATTGGTCGGGACGTTGTGAATCGCGCTGAGCTCCGTGGAGGTGTTGTTTCCTTGTTTAGCATACACAGCGAAACACAGCCAAACTCATCCTGAGCACACACAAAGTCACAGCCGAAGTAAAAACAATAAGTGTGGCTTGATATTGAGTAAGAAAAAGGTTGATAAACGCTGTGAAAATGGGTCTGCAGAGAGAATGGGTCTGCAAAGAGAATGGGTCTGCAGAGAGAATGGGTCTGCAGAGAGAATGGGTCTGCAGAGGAGAATGGGTCTGCAGAGAGAATGGGTCTGCAGAGAGAATGGGTCTGTAGAGAGAATGGGTCTGCAGAGAGAATGGGTCTGCAGAGAGAATTTCGCCGCGATCCCAACTGTCTGTTATCAGCCTGCAGCCAGGGAGGAGAAATCAGCTGAGCTGCCTCACTGAGTGTGTGTGTGTGTGAGGAAGTCCGTGGATTGGTCAATTTGGACCAATCAGCGAGGGCTTAATGTAACGGCTCCGCGGACGTAACGTAACGGCTCCACGGATTGGTCCATTTCGATCCGGGTACGGGGTTACGTCACCCCGTCCCAGAAGAATCAAATGGACAATGACGTATCTCCAACGAGGCGTTTTGGGGAGGTATTTTCTGTGTTACAGTTTTACTCGCTACAGGGTGTACTTTGACGGTTTTGACTCTGCAGACCGTTTACATGCAGAAAAACCTTCATAACACACAAGGGGACGGGTAATAACCAGAAAAGCATGACATGGGACCTTTAACTTGCGATTAACGCATGTGTATTTGCCCTCGGCGCGCCCTGTAGTTTCAGAGCGCAAAGGCTTGACGTTGTTGTTAGTTGTTGTTAGTTGGATGGTGGGAGATTCTACCGAGAGATATGGATACAAGCAGGGCCGGCCCGTAGCACTGGCGTTATGGATGTTCGCCTAGGGCGCCAGATCTGGGGAGGCGCTGCGCTGGTAGAAAAACATTTTTGACCGTTGGTGCTCATCCTAATTTTCGGCCTTGATGTAACAATATTCATAATTAAGTAAATGTAACACCCTTTTCACCCCGGTTACACTTTTCATTTGCCCTGTACGATGGGCGCTGTAAGTGATGAAAATGGGGGATGTTGGCTTATCAGGCGCCCGCAGCTCACAGCCAAAGTGCGAGTGAGCATGGGAGCGAGCGAGGGAGAGAGGGCGCACCGGTACCGGCGCTGTTGTTATTAGACTCTGGTGCTAGCTGCGCTAACGGATATAAGAGTAGATGTTTCTACAATAATGTGGAGGGAGAGTCCTCTCCAGTCAGACTGAGAGGCTCAGTGAGGTAAAGGACTCTGAGTGTTTAGATAGTTCACTTTAGCCTAAGTTATCTCAGTGGGTCTCAAACGGTTTGGTCACAATTTATGTAAACACATATTTCCAAGGCACTCCTTTATAATTATTGGGATAAACAGGTTTGAAATCATTCCAATGATAGGACAGTAAACCAGACATATCGTTTAAAACTGGAGAGATTAAAACATATGCATAAATAAATAAATGTTAACTGGGTAAAATAAGATATAAATGAACAACAAAAATAAAATAAGTTTCATTTATTTGTTATTGGCTATGGGTTATTGGTTATGTTCACATACACACATTTGGTTATTAAAATGTAAACCAATCTTTTTCATATGGGTGTTTTAGAGTTGTACCCCCTAGATCAGGTCTCTAGTAATTCTGCTCAAAGTGCACCAGATTGAAGCATTTTACTTTAAAATGTTAAAAAAATCTTACCCCCGGACCCCCCTAGACTAGAGGATGTGACATCCATCCCCCATTATATTGCGTATGCCTTGGATACTCTATTGATCTTTATCTTTTCTATTGTACGATTCTCTGGCTGGGGCGCCAGCTCAAATCTCGCCTAGGGCAGCAAATTGTCTAGAGCCGGCCCTGGATACAAGAAAAGGTGTTTAAAACGGCAAGCCAAGCACACAGCTGATGCTGACAGCCCCGCTCCTGCCGCTCACTTGCGGCAGACCACACTTGAAAGTTTTCCGGGGAGACGCCTGGACACATCTACGAGCAGCAAGCCCGCGGGACCGGCCTATGAACTGGATTTAACTCATGTTGGTGTTGTAACCTGTAAGGTCCTAGCCAGCATGTTGATGTTTTTAATTATTATTCCTGTTTTATTTTGTTTCTCTCATTTCAGTATCAGCACTTCCTACCCCTGATTGAACTCCATCTGCTTCCCATCCCATTAGCCTCACCTGTGCCCCATTATCATCCCTCCCCCTGTCTATTTAGTAAATTCAATTCAATTCAAAACCATTTAGTGCGTCCACATTCCCCTCAGTGCCAGTTTGTCTTAGTTATTCCTAGCGTTCCATCAGTGTTTATTCCTAGTACCTTGATTCCACGTGTACCTGACCCAGCTTCGTGTCCTGACCCTGTTCCTGTCTAATCCTTGTCTGTTTTGGTTGCCTTATGGCGCGTTTCCACTACACGGCCTCGCTCGGCCCCGCTCGGTATGGCTGGGCCTCGTTAGGACTGGCTCACTTTATGGCGCATTTCCATTACAGTTTAGGAACTGGGGTAGTATCTATAGTAACGCAGTGTAGGCGGAGCCGTGACGTGATCTTCAGAGGACCCCAGAAAAACAACACAGCCGTTAGCTGTTAGCACTCAGAGCTCACAGCTCCTCATATATGTTCAGAAACTACAAGTGAAACAAGTACAAACCACAGACTGCCTGTGTCATGGAGAATACAGTCGCTGCTTTATTTATGTCTGTAGGCCGTTGTTGTGAGTGTGGACGGTCGGAGCATATACTGCGTTAGCTTAGCCAATCTCCATTCAGAAAACACGCATTTTAAAAGGTGTTTCGCCTGCCGTCTGTCTGCAGACTTGTCAAAGCATTAATTCATGGTTTTTACTAACCGGTATCAGTATGTTGTTACTTCGGCATCATTTTGAAACGTGTATTACAATTAATCACGGTCAAATATGTCCATCTTGTTGTAGTTGTAGCCCCCTTGCCAGCGATGCTCTCTCTAGTTTAGCATACTCAGCCCGACTCAGCCTCGTTGTCTCTGGCCCTAGACCCGCGATTTTATGAGGCCAGAAAAACTGTGAATTAGGACCCTCTAGCCGGTACTAGGCCAAGTGGAAACGCAACCAAAGACGGGCCGCTGACGTCACAGCCCTCTTAAACCGTGCTCCGCGCTGTAGTGGAGACGCGCCATTACTGACTGATCTACCGTGTACCGAACCTCTGCAATAAAGACCTTTTTGCATCCTAAGCCTCTGTCCCTGAGTCGTGCTTTTGAGTCCTCTACTGGTGTTCTCTCAGTCGTTACAGTAACCAACTGGACTCTTTGCATGGATTGAACTGTATATATTGACTCTTTTCACCACACACTGATTCTGACTGGCACCCCACTTTATTAAAAGTAGGTCAAACCCGCTGCAAAGTTAAGGTATTCACTATAATCTGTTCAATGTTATCTGACTCTCCAGATATGAATGAAAGGCCGTGTTTTTAGATTTGTTCACGCCTTCTTATATTTAGTTATATTGCCTTTTGAAAAATAAAGATAATTTTGACAATGACAATTGTTATATCGCAGTGTATTTTTATGTTTAAAAAATGTCAGGAGGGACGATGCCCCATGGGCTTATTCACATTATCAAATCCGGCCCTCTTTGAAAAAAGTTTCGACACCCATGATCTCTAGAGAATTCTAACAGATATTAAGGCCCTATTTCTTATTCACCAACAGAGCAATGAAGTAGGTGGTAGTTATCACATGGAAAAGGAGGGACTGAAAAGATGCCTAGATCATCTGGAGTCAAACAATTTGGCGGTTGAGTACATTGTGACTGACCGTCATCCACAAATCCAGAAGTTTCTGAGGGAACGCAAGATAGAACAATTCTATGATGTGTGGCACTTTGAAAAAGGTATTTATCCCTATATGTTTGAATGGAAGAATACCAAATCAGAGACACTATCCTTTGTTCAGATATTCCTTTGTTTTACTATGCAATTTATCCTGAGCTTCTAATCAGCAGCAGACATGACATCATGTCTGGATAGATACATGATTTATATCCCCCGACAATTTGTCCCTCTAATCTGGTCTTTCCTCTGTTATTGTAAACTGTCTGCCAGACCACTTGATCACAGCCCCTTTTGTCATTGTAAATTCAATTTCACTCACTACTCTTAGGATAATGTGAGTACTCTTTAGAATGGGAATTTACAGTGATGTGTATATGAATATGTATGGGGGTTTCCTGGGCTGGCTATGAAATGCTTTCAGACAGAAGGGTGTCTCTCTGACCATTGTCAGGCAATTATCATATGGATGTTATGGTTGTAATTAACATGCTGTGCTTACCCTTCTGTCTGCCCCCCACCCTTCTTTCCACCACACCCTTGAATATTGTCCATCACAGCACATCATTTACACACTATGGCTTGAATATTCACTTGTGCATGTGTTTTCTTTTTATCAGGTTTGTCCAAGAAACTTGTGAAACTTTCACAGAACAAGGACTGCAAGTTGTTGAAGAGGTGGCTGCACAGCATAAAAAACCATGTATACTGGAGTGCGACGAGCACAACCTCGGGGCCGGAGAAGGTGGCAAGGTGGACGTCAGTCGTCAACCACCTACAAAACATTCACGTGCACGACGACCCCCTATTCCCCAAGTGTGAACATCCTGAAAGAGCCACAACAGATGCAAATAAAGAGAGTTCTCAAAGATGTGAAAAAGCTAAGCCATCACTACCAGACCTCATCGCTGCAGTCCTTCCACAGCTTGATTCTGCGTTTTGCCCCCAAAAAGGTGGTTTTCCCCTTCATGGGAATGTTGTGCAGGTAACACACTGTATCATTGATTCTGTAGCATCTTATAACACAGTCACTGTTTAGTGGCATGAGGGTTTTATTCTGTCATAACACAAAGTCTCATTTTATTTTGCTATTCTATAGGTTGTGTCTAGCAGCCATGCATCCCAATGAGAATGCTGACCGTGAGCAAGCCACAACAGCTGCAGGACTACTTGTGTACAAATTGGCCTATCCAAAAGCAAGGAGGGGAGAATGTACCGCAAAGCCTGTAAAGAAGGACCCTACATACAGTAAGTTGTCAAATATTTTTGTTTTATTAAAAACATAACTTACATTTTAAATGATTATTGCACAAAGTACCAATGAACTGGCCAGATATATGGAGAACCGGGATGACTGGAAGCAACGATGGAGGGCTCGTCTGAGGACGACCTAGAGAGATAGCCACACTGAATTATATGTACAATGAAAGAATAAAATACAAATACAAATAATAAATTATTATATGAATGTTATATTTTTCAGTGTACGTGGGTGAGCTGATGAGGCTGGTGTTTGAAGAAGTATTTGAGGATCCAACACCCTTTGTGGAGGAGATGAATAAAATCCCCATCCCAAAGGATCCACTCAATTTGACAGGCCCTCAAAGGAGGAAGTGGTAGCCCGCCATGTCTCACGTTTTAGTCAAGGGGCGGTGGGAAGCCAACATACTGTCCAGCCAGATCAGGAAACTCCCGGCGTATGCGGCGGACAACACATGACGGGATGACCACTCTGATGCCTCGTCCTAAGAAGCCCCAGCACCAGCTTACAAAGCTGCGATAGGCAAGATGCCGAAAACGCCTATAAGAGGAGGAATGGATGATAAGATATATGTGCTGTCCTGTTTTTCACCCTTACCCTCTGGCTGCTTGAACAACTGATTTTCCCCACAGGGATTAATAAAGGTCCATCTTATCTTATACAGTGTATATATGTATATCAATCATCATTTTGTACATTTCTAGAAATAAAGTTTGATAGAAATACTTGGTAGCCTTTCTTCCCTGAATGATGTGCTCCTAGATAGCATATCATTCATATATAGCAAACCATGATTTGATTTTTCATCAAATACAGTAGTAGTTTATTACAGGTATGAATAACTTACTCTTCTTCTGTTCTACGCCTCAAAGGTCCATAATCAAACCTATACATGTTATGGAGGTTCTGCAGGGTGTATGGATTGAAACAGTTTGGCTCTAGTCCGGGGTGGTCAACCATGCACACAATAGGTTCTGGGACTTGCATCATTCGTGTTGCAACCTATAGGAAGATAAGATATTTGTAACGTAACACGTTTAGCAATTAACTCCAAATATGGCGAGGTTTACAAAATAAACATTCAATTACTATAGAATAAATAAAAGGGCATATAATAGTCTATTGACTTGACAAGTATGTAGGCCTATGGTGTATATAATGTTGTGTGCTACTGTTGGTGTTTTTGTTGTATCTGTCACCATACTTGCCAACCTTGAGACCTCGGAAATCGGGAGCATTACTAAAGAGACGCGCTACCATGGAAACCAAACAATGGTGTAGCTGTATTAAAGTCTGAGTGGAAACAGTCCAGGGTAAATCTGATTTTGTCAGAAATCGGGAGAAATGCGGGAGAAATATGACCCCGGGAGGAAACCGGGAGAGGGCTATGAAATCGGGAGTCTCCCGCGAAAAGTATGTCTGTCACCTTTCTAATTTCCCTGCAACAGACGTTTTCCACTTCGGTTGGCATGACTGCGCAGTTTCCACACGTGCACCTATATAACAGCAGTTGTAGGTACAGTTTGGTTAGCGAAACAAACTTGTTACTGTGATGTAGATAAATGATGCAGTTCTAACATTACATCTGAAATGTAAGAGCTCTACAAAATTAAAACTTTCCACTGTGAAACCGTCTGCTCCAGTCTAGTTTGGGACGGTGGATCAGGTCCATCACGGTCCGTCTCACTTTCAGGATCGGACTCCGGTTCAAACATGTACGGCTGTACTGACGCCATTTGAAAACTGATGCTCAGAGCCGAAAACACAGTGTTAGACATGGGCGGAGCCTCTCTGGTGGTTGACTAATCAGAACAGAGTGGCCGAGCTGACCAATCGGAGCACACTAGGCTCACAGGGAGGGGGGGGCAGGAGCACAATCAAGCCGTTTTGCACAGAGAGTGAATACTGCTGAATACACATACTATACAGAGATGCTGTATGAGAAACCAATGTGAGTTTGGAAAATTGCACAGTATAAATCTATTTTAGTATACCTCAACAATGTAATTATGATCAGTGGAAATGGCCATGACATGGGCCCTTTAAGGATCACAACATGAGTCCCAGTTTCCAGCTGAAGTGGAAAACTGGACAAAGGAGGAAGTGGCTCAGTGGTTAGTGGGGCATGTGAAGGGCGATGGCAAAAAGGCTGCACGATTTTTCAAGAGCAAGAAGTGTCTGGAGATTGTCTTGTTTGCTTCGAGGAGCAGGATTTCCGGGATCTGGGGCTAAAGAGGGGTCCCGCTATCAAGATCCTGAAGGAGCTCAGACGACTGAGAAATCAAGAGTCAACGCCACCATCCAGAATCAAATCGTTCTTTAAAGGCCCTGACACACCAGGCAGTCACCAGAGAACTCGCCGACATCCGACACCGACAGATCCATCGACGAGTTCTCCTGCGTATTGGCCGTGTGTCGCACTGAAATACACCGCTTTACTACAGCCGAGCACGTACGAACTGCGCATGCGTGAGTGGCAATAACTCTCCTTACCAGCAGGCGGCGGTAGTGTGTATTCGTCATTCAAAATAGGCAACAACCGGAAGACAGAGAAGAAGAACAGACTGATATAAACAAACAAATAGCGGGTGCCATTCGAAACATGTTTTAGAATATAAAAATACATGCATGATGAAATGAGCACATAAAGTGCAGACATACTATAAAATCACAGTTAATAGACCTGCATCTGATGATCGCAGTGTTCTGGCGGGTGTGTAGTTTATTGAGTCAGCAATGTAATAATGGCCACTTCTTGCTAAATTTACGATGAGATGAAAAACCGGACTTGACCAAACAAATCACGGAGCTCTCAGCAGAGGACAGCCGGGGACGCTCCCGCCGATATCAGAGATGTCCCTGCTATGTGTGGGAGGTAAGAGAGGACATTTAAATCGTTTGTTTACGTCCCTCACTTCCGTTTCGCTTCTCATTTGCAAGCTGAACAGCTGATCAGAGTGGTTTCTTGGCCCGATAGCTTGTGTCCGACACCCGGCCGATTCAACATGTTGAATCGGCCGGGTGTCGATCGTGAAAGGCCAAATAAGGCGTGTCACGGCCGAGGGTTCGGGACACACCAAATTGACTTTGGGCGACAAGGAACCCGTTTTCGCCCAACAACGCAAGACGGCCGATATCGGCCTGGTGTGTAGGGGCCTTAAGGGCAAAAACAAACAAGCAGGCAAGAGTCTGCCAATGGAGAGAAAGACAACTGAAGTAACATTTCAGGTTTGTTTTCCAGTTCATGAAAATGTTGTTGTTGTTTGAGCGGTGTGAGAAATATCGGCTTCTTCCAGGTTCAACTTTAGTGCTTTATTTCTATTCTGTTTTTTTCTTCAGAATCCAGCCCCGTTGATCAAGGATACCCTGGATGGGCTTTCAACAAAGGATTTCAACAATTTTAAATTTGGTCTGGAGAATTACACAGACCCTGAGTGCAAAGCAATTCCCCTGTGCAAACTGGAAGGTAAAGACACCAGTGACATCGCTACAGTAGTGACCAACAACTACGGACCTGACAAGGCTTTACGCGTCACACAACATGTTCTCCGAAATATACATCGGCGTGATCTTGCTGACCAACTGCAAAGCCACATGGGTAAGAATGTTTCTCCCACTCTCTTCACACAGTCCTGTAGGCGTCTTTCGGTTTTCTAACCCAGTTGAGATTTAACCACGCCTACTTCCACATCGACGTAGCTCTGCGCGACTGCATCACGGATGTAAAACGAAAACAACAACCCCATGATAACAACATCAAGTAATATCATGTATACTCTAGTTTGGGTAAATGGGCCGCTAAAGATATGATCAATTTAGCCAGTTAATTAATTATCTACGATTGTTATCGAACTAGGTTGCATAACATGAACACTACTGTGTAATATATGTTAACAGATATATTTAAGAAGTACAATACAACACAAGCTCAAGTTTCATTTGTGGGCCACATTCCATTATGCTTTTTTAATTTGCTGAGGGCCGATTCAAAATGGCCCGTGGGCTGCATTTGGCCCCCGGGCCATAGTTTGGACACCCCTGATCTATAGCAACTGAATGTGGAGTTATCTAAGGTTTGAAACCCAACATATTACCGTACAGGTTCACCCTAGTTCTAGTTTTAGAGAAAGTACTAGGTTTGATAAGGAGACTAACAGCAGGAATCTCTTCAATCAGAGTACATAATGTATCTCCAATAAAATGTATCCTACTGTTCAGCAGCCCGTGAGACGTTCAGGGAACCTGTGGGAAAGACAGAAAATAACCTGGGTTACACATGGATCTTTTGACAGATTTGTTCAATGTGGAGGAAAATATAACTGTTCACTGCAGTAACTGGTTTTGTGTGTTTTGTTTTGTTAATAAATTAATCGTTTGTACTTCAACTATTTCTATTTAAAGGGGACCTATCATGCAAAATGCACTTTTTGATATCTTCTCTACATCAACATGTGTCCCCGGTGTGTCAGGGAACTCACGCAGCGTCAGAAAATAAAACCCTCTCTCTTTTCCTCCGTACCCAAATCTCTAAAACGGGGGAAACAACGGAGCTGATCCAGATTTGCTGCCGATATGACGTAATTTCGGATGGTGGACCCACAGAGAGTTCAAATTCAAATTCAATTCAAAAGCTTTTATTGTCATTGTACAGAATACAACGAGGTTTATAGTTACTAGCTCCAGCGAGTTCTTTAAAAACAGACATATTAAAACACAGATTAAAAGGTCTGACAGTTACGACCAGCAGTAGCGCACACAGCTTCGGATCGTCATGTAGATGACCAGGATTAATAAATAAATGAATAAAAATAGAATTATGATCAAATATATATGATAAATATTACAGTATATACATAGAGACAGACCATAATTGTTGCACAGTGGGGATATGGGGAGTTATCTTTGTGTGTTTAATGTCCTAATGGCCCATGGGAAGAAATTGTTTGTGAATCTGGAGGTGCGGGCTTTCAGTGAACGGTAGCGCCGG